CAAAAAAAAAAAAAAAAAAGAATTTCATTCCTTAACTCTGGAAACAGAATTTTTTTCCTCCATAACTGAATCAGTTCCCACTTCTTCTACAGAAGATTTCCTAGAAAGAACTTCCAACTCTGGCTAGATCACTGTGCCCTTTTCCACTAAGTCTTTCTCCTTCACCAGTTTCAAATTCCCACGTGAGCATAGGGTGTGATTTATCCACCTGTGTGTTCATCATAGCATCTCAGAAATTACAGAATCAATCAGCCTCATTTTGCAGATAATGAAGAGAAGGTTCAGAGAGACAAACTGCATTGCTCAAGGTTATACAACTTGTTAGTGCTATAGCCAGTCCTAAAATTTCCATCTCTGTATTCCCAACTCTGTCCTCTTTTCCATAATGGGAGCCAGAAGGGAAAAGGCAGCTTTTATCATGATAAATAGGAGAAAATATGATTTTAGATGTTATGTTCAAATGTTAGGAAGAGATGCAGGTCAGAGTGGGCATTCTAATTCCAAAGGAAGCACAGCTCCCCTGCTTTCATGCCCAGCCACATAAGACCAGGATGTGTTCACTGAGGTCTGAAAACTAGAGACTGATATAAAGGATGACTGGTGGGAAGGACAACAGCTAGATTTGGTATCAGATAAACTAAATTTACAGGATTTATGACTGACCCCCAAAAGACTAATGAATGTTTTGGAAATCTTACAAAAGTAAAACAAAAAAATTATCTCAGTATTTCTTTTGAAGGTGCAGGCTTATGACACTAAACAAATAATTCTTTAAAACACATTGTGCGAAATGAAGACTCTATCATTCTCATAAGCTATAGAACTCAAATATTTAAAATGTACTTATGATAACATGCATAGTATCCTCAACTGGGCTGGTGTGAAGTGCATTCATGTTGGGCAAATTCACTTTATAAGCTAAATGATGTACAGTGATTGTATAAAAGAAATTAAAATGAAAAAAATGTACTTATGCTTGCTATTATAAAAGGCTTAATTTTCACGCATGTTTGTGTGTATATGCATATGTGTATGCCACAATATAGGTAGGGAGTATCCATGTGTTCAGTAAAATAAATGATAAATGATTCCTACATTAGGGGTTCATTTTCTTTGTCAGAGAAAGTGCTAAGTACTTGACCAGCAGCATGTAATTGGATCCTCACAATGACCCTATGAAAGAGGAGCTGTTATTAGCTCCACTTTCCTGATGGGGATTTGAAGCTTAGACGGGCTAAGGAACTTGCTCATGACCACACAGCTTGGAATCATGGAGTCAAACATGGAACCCAGACACCTCCAGCCATAACTTGAGAGTCTACAATGTTTTCTTAGAGCATATAATTTATTTATAAAGAATGTTGTAACAAGTAAAAGCAACAGTAACATTAAGAAAACAATCCACAAAACATATTACCATGGAGTCGAAGAGCCCAGCTGCTATAATACAGCTGTAATGTAGGTGCCCTGCACAGCTGGAGGTGATGTGACTGACTGTGAGTTTGGATCCCTGAATCGGCATGATAAATGCACCAGGCACATGCACAGGCACTAAAGATCTTGAGGAAGTGGAAGGGTAGGGAAAAGTGATTGTGGTGTGATGAAACGCTGTCAAGAGTTGGCCTCTCTCTTGCTCTCTCACCCTCTATCATTAGAAAAAGACATTTGTATTCAACTTCTGGATAATCATAAACTCTGAAATCTTGGGAAAGTCATCAATTAGGTCTTAGATTCATCCATATACCTCATCTACTCAATGGAGTAATACTTGGCTCTCTCACAGTAGGGTGATAGTGAGTTTAACAGGAGATAATGTGTGTGAAAGTGCTTATTGAAAGCACAAAATTAATGCAGGTTATTATGGTCTGAATGTGTTCCCCAAGAGTTCATGTGTTAGAAACTTAACTGCCATTGTAACACTATTAAGGCAGTAAAAATCTTAATCCAACTATGGTATTAGGGAACTATTAGGAGGTGATTAGGATTAGATAAGGTCATGTGGGTAGGTCCCCATGATTGAATCCTGGTGGCTTTAAAATAAGAGAGAGACCAGAGCAGACACAGACACACAGATTAAACACACACTCCTGCTCTCTCACCATGGGATGCCTTCAGCACCTCGGGGCTCTGCAGAAAGTCCCACCAAGAAGACCCTTACCAGATGCAGCCCCTTGAGCTTGGACCTCCAAAACTGTGAACTAAATAAACCTTAATTCCTTATGAATTATCCAGCCTGTCACAGTCAGTTATAACAATAGAAAAACTGACTAAAACACAGGGTAATGTTAATTTGGAAAGATAACCATCTCAGTTAGAAATAGTGAACATCATTAATACTATTAAGAAGTAATCACACTGCCAACAGGTGGTATAGTGGTTGAGGCACTGAACTCCCACACGGCTGACCACAGTTCAAGTCCTGGACCCGATGGCTTGAAACTCACACCAGGCATGTGTGCATTCGTGCCCAAAATCCTGAGAGGAAAATGGAGGAGAAGGGGCTGCAGGGTGCCCATCCCCCCCGGGGGGATGATTTCTCACTTTTTCTCTCTCTGTGTCTCTGGTGAGTGCATGCACCCTATAGCAAACATCTCTCTTGTAGTGATAAATAATCACTAGGCCAACAGGTGTTAAGGTGTCATGGTTGACTGCAGTTTGAGTCCTGGATCCAGGAACTTGAAAATCATGCTGGTCGTGTGTGTGTGCATGCCCAAAATCTTGAGAGTAGAATGGAGGAGAAGGCATTGTGGTGTGGCCCACTGGGAAGTAATTTTTCACTTTCCCTCTTTCTGTCTCTCTCCACTGAGTTCACATGCTCTATGGCAAAAGCAAAAATACGAACTAAGAAAAACAAGTGGATGTCTCTGTGCTCCTTTGCTCCTGTCATTTTATCTTGCTGAGCAATCTGTAGGTAAGTCATGGTCAGTCAGGAAACAACTGTTGGCATCTCAGGGCTGTATCTAGAAGTGGACTCATGGCCTTCAGGTTATTCTCCTTCAGGTAGAACTAGCATGTCCACAGACAGAGCAGAGGCCTGAACTCATCAGTTATTTTACTCTCAAATCAATTCTATATGATTTTTTTTTACACAGAAATGAAATGTCTTCCATGTACACTTCTGGAAATAATCAATCTACAAAGTGATTGACATTAAACATTCCCCATGCCACAAGCTTCGTATGGATTTGGTTGTTAATAAAGTACAATTTGATTCATATATTCATGTCCCAGCAAACATAAGTCAAAGAAGTAACTAG